GCAACTCAAGCAGAGTTTTAAAACAAAAGGTGCTTTGATCGTCACATGCTCAGACTGCACCAACGAGCCAGAGTGTGATGGCTTAAATAAACAAGAGATTGGAATTGTTGATTGATTGATGTTGTTTGAAAGTAATTTGAAAACAATACGACTACAAAATGTGATGTGTTTTTCTACTTAGAGATATTAAGACAGTGGTCCACCAACCGAGTCTTCTTTAAACCCAGTCCTCTTTGAACCAAGTCCTGTTGTGTTGTTAAAGCCAAATACCATCTTCCCAAGTATGTGGTGTGTGAGTGGGTGATCTGATGACACGGATTAGCAGCCTCACTTCCACCAGACTCCCTCAGGGCAGCGTTGACAACAAGACGTACGGTGTACACCACACCGAGTGATTGAGTAAGTAAGTAAAGATTACTTCTACCAGAGTCACAAAGCGCTTTTACAATTGTGGGCATTTGTCTTTCTCGCAACAGAGATTGGAGCGGGGTCGCCATACAGGAGGCGCAGGCCAGACCTATTGTACATATTATTAGTGGTAAGGGAAACCGGAGGACCAAGAGGCAACCTACAACGAGACACGGGGAGAACATGACAACTCTATTCAAAGACTCTGTTCCAACCGGGATTCGAACACAGGACCTTCTTGCTGAGAAGCGAGAGTGATATCCACTCAATCAGCGTGCCGCCCACATGGAGTGAGAACCCATATAGCGAAAAGGCAAAAAAAGGCACTGTACTTGCTGACACTTAGAATAAATGCAATAAATACACAAAGAACAATAGCGTACATGTGAAATGGGTATCGCCAATTTTGAAAAGGCAAAAAATTCTCGATAAGTTGTGTGTGGGCTTTCTATTATGCAACGTACACTGTTTTTATGCAAGTTTATATTGTAAAATTATGTATAAGATGTGTTTTTGTGAAATATATGTGTTCAAAAGCATTATCTGTTTCTTCAAAGTCCTTTTACACGAGCAGATACAAATCTATAATAATGAAAATTAGGCTTCTAAAATTCATTACATAACAGTCTGTATAATTATCTTCTGGAATTGCTAAAGCCTTGATGGACATCCAGCTGAAAAGTGATAAATAAAGGGAAGAGTATTGGGACGTCCCGGAGGCTCCTGGTACCTGTCTGTTTTAGGTTCACTCAGGGGCCTTTGGGGCTCACGCAGAACTTAAATGGGCGACTAATGGTTTTTACAAGGTATACAAAAACAAACAGTGCAATTTACACTGGCTACAGAACAGTACTCACTATGTGGAAAAAGTTCTCTTCAAAATGAAAAAAAAAAAGCCTGTGAGAACTGGACAGAGCAGAGATAATGTTTTACAGTAAATGTTGAGTTGAGTGTTTTTTTGTTTTTTTTGTTCAATGTACATCATTGTATTTTATTACTATTGTTAGCTACTTTTAGAATTATGTATATATTTGTTTTGTTTGTATGGATGGATGTGTTTCTGCTGCTATCAATAATGTAGTTACAGTGCCTTGCGAAAGTATTCGGCCCCCTTGAACCTTTCAACATTTTGCCACATTTCAGGCTTCAAACATAAAGATATACAATTTTAATTTTTTGTCATGAATCAACAACAAGTGGGACACAATCGTGAAGTGGAACGAAATTTATTGGATAATTTAAACTTTTAAAAAAAATAAAAAACTGAAAAGTGGGGCGTGCAATATTATTCGGCCCCTTTACTTTCAGTGCAGCAAACTCACTCCAGAAGTTCAGTGAGGATCTTTGAATGATCCAATGTTGTCCTAAATGACTGATGATGATAAATAGAATGCACCCGTGTGTGATCAAGTCTCCGTATAAATGCACCTGCTCTTTGATAGTCTCAGGGTTCTGTTTAAAGCGCCTAGAGAACCATGAAGACAAAGAAACACACCAGGCAGGTCCGAGATACTGTTGTGGAGAAGTTTAAAGCCGGATTTGGATACAAAAAGATTTCCCAAGCTTTAAACATCTCAAGGAGCACTGTGCAAGCAGTTGTATTGAAATGGAAGGAGTATCAAACCACTGCAAATCTACCAAGACCCGGCCGTCCCTCCAAACTTTCATCCCAAACAAGGAGAAGACTGATCAGAGATGCAGTCAAGAGGCCCATGATCACTCTGGATGAACTGCAGATAACTACAGCTGAGGTGGGAGAGTCTGTCCATAGGACAACAATCAGTCGTGCACTGCACAAATCTGGCCTTTATGGAAGAGTGGCCATTTCTAAAAGATATCCAATAGAAGTCTCTTAAAGTTTGACACAAGCCACCTGGGAGACACACCAAACATGTGGAAGAAGGTGCTCTGGTCAGATGAAACCAAAATCAAACTTTTTGGCCACAACGCAAAACGATATGTTTGGCGTAAAAGCAACACAGCTCATCACCCTGAACACACCATCCCCACCTCAGCTGTAGTTATCTGCAGTTCATCCAGAGTGATCATGGGCCTCTTGGCTGCATCTCTGATCAGTCTTCTCCTTGTTTGAGATGAAAGTTTGGAGGGACGGCCGGGTCTTGGTAGATTTGCAGTGGTCTGATACTCCTTCCATTTCAATATAATTGCTTGCACAGTGCTCCTTGAGATGTTTAAAGCTTGGGAAATCTTTTTGTATCCAAATCCGGCTTTAAACTTCTCCACAACAGTATCTCGGACCTGCCTGGTGTGTTCCTTTGTCTTCATGGTTCTCTCTGCGCTTTAAACAGAACCCTGAGACTATCAAAGAGCAGGTGCATTTATACGGAGACTTGATCACACACGGGTGCATTCTATTTATCATCATCAGTCATTTAGGACAACATTGGATCATTCAAAGATCCTCTCTGAACTTCTGGACTGAGTTTGCTGCACTGAAAGTAAAGGGGCCAAATAATATTGCACGCCCCACTTTTCAGTTTTTTATTTGTTAAAAAAGTTTAAATTATCCAACAAATTTCATTCCACTTCACGATTGTGTCCCACTTGTTGTTGAATCATGACAAAAAATTTAAATTTTATATCTTTATGTTTGAAGCCTGAAATGTGGCGAAATGTTGAAAGGTTCAAGGGGGCCGAATACTTTCGCAAGGCACTGTACCTATCATTAATGATTGTGTGTATGTATGTCTGAGAGAGAGTGTGCGTGTGTGTGTTTGGGATGGGACTGTGTGCTTTGTGAGTTTGACCTGTATAAATGAGCGATATGAATGTGAGGTTTTAACAAATTGACTTGATCTTTCATATATTTTGGCCGATGTAAACTGTATATACTATGTATGTATGTATGTTTTTTTTAATGTATTATCATAAGATCAGCCTGCCCAGGACTACAGGTGGAAATTAACTCTTGAGCCATAACCTGAAACAACGCATCCCCCTTTGTGGTTAATGTTTATTGTACACTGTCCATGTCACTTTGAATAAAAAAATACAAAATATCCAAACTAAATATAAAATCAAAATAGAACTATAACTAATCATTCATTAAAATGTACTTATTAGAATATTGTACATGATTCAAACTTGAAAAAGTTCTGTTCAGCCTGGTCTATACATGTGTCCCTGATGCAGGCAAGTCAAAAAGAAGATATTGAGAAGAGATAAAATGTGCACCTCTAGTTTTGGAAAAGGGGCCACAAACATCTGCCCTGATCTCTCCTGATTGCACATGCTCCCTAGACAGACTAAAAGGCAAAACCAGACAGCTATACGTGTGTAATGACAACAAAGCTCCTATTTAAAAACCACTCGAGGTTGGTTCCAATGTAACCAAATATGGCAGCTATAAGAAGTACAATTTTCCATTCTGCTGTTGCCAGGAGCTGTACTGTATTGAAGAAAATAAATCTTCACTTTAGCGCCAACATCAAAAGGTGCATAGAGAAATAAACAAGAGTAAACAGTGTAATAAGTTTCTCCTGCTGGCGCACTTAGAAAAGCAAACCTGAGGGACAGTTCCAGCGCAAGAGACGCAGACACGACTGTACTTCGTCAATGTTTAGTCTCTGCTACGAGGCGAGGAACGAAACACTTTTTAAACATCCAGCCGTTTATGACAAGCTCCATCAAAGCAATAGATGTAAAGGCAGAAAAAAAAATACAATGCAGAGACACACAGACAGACACACACCATCAGAGACACACACACACACACACACACGCACACACACAGACATGCAGACACACACAGACACAGACACAGAACCAGACAGACCGTCAGACACACACAGACACAGACAAACACACAGACATAGACAGACACACAGTCAGACACACACACAAACCCACATAAACGCAGACAAGCACAGACACACACAGACACACATGCACGCACAGGCACACAGACAAACACAGACACTTTATCATTAGTGCTATAACCCAATTCAGGATGGAACCAAAAGAACACATCTCTTCCATGTAACTACACACTGAAGAAATCTTTTAAGAATGCTTTTCAAATTATACATTCATCCCAGTACGTAAATTACCAGGTCATGGGTTTAGATGAAAATATCTAAGATTCATTATTTATAAGAGATAACAACATTACATTACTTTGTTCATGGATGTATAAACATAAAATAGTGTGCCTTCAATATCCTGGTCAATTTGAACCACAGTGGCTCAAGATTAACTAACCTGTTCCTAGACAGTTCTGAAATACCAGTCAGACGTGGTCATTTCCAAAGTGAAGGAGGAGAAATCATTTTTGACAATCACTATTTGACAACTTGAAAGTCCAAAAATTGCTTGGATGTCAGTTGTATTTATTCTGCTGTGACCAGTGTTGTCTTTTGTAACTAGACCACGTGCTAGGCTAATAAGAGAAATTGTGGTTGTCAGGAACATTTGTTTACCCCTTCAGAACCATGGAAACGATTGTGTTGCAAACAGGTGAACAACCATAATGTGCATGTTTGCCGTATGTTGTTTAAATGTAGGATGACAAATATAACATTTACCCAAAAAATAATATACAATTGTTCATGCTTGTTAAAATCATGTCTTACCTTAGCAGCCACGATGCTGAGTCCCATGCCATTGTGCTTCTTCAGGGTCACCGTGACGACTTCCGGCTCCTTCCTCATTGGCTGAACACAGATGAACAGGAAGAATAAATCAATTTATGCATTTGTTAAGAGCATAAAGTGCATAAAAAGGGTTCTTGTCCTTTTTCAGAAACAAAATGATGATGAAAGTAAGGAAAAGAAAGGCAGGCTGAGGGAGGGGGAGCCAGGCTGAGGGAGGAGAGAAGGAGACGACCGCAGAGGAACCTGTGGTCCCTGGAGCAGGATCAAGAATGAAAACCACATCATGGCTGCCCACACTTCCAGAGCAGGGCAGGGCGCTTGGGTGGGGAAAAACATTCACAAAGTAACGTCAGCTCAAGACTAACACAAAGACAATGTTCTGACGGAGCACAGACAAAACAATGAGACGTGTGTTTTTGAACTGTAATAAAAGTAATTTGCAAAAACACACAAAACCCTCTAAATGTCTTTGGACAAACATGAACTGTAAGGTGTGGCTCTACATGATTCGCTCCAAAAAATTTATATATATATTTTTTCACAGGAGCTTAACATACTCAACACTTTTTAAATGAGTCCAGTCTTAACCAGAACACTTGGTGGAAATGGGAGGAGTCTGGTGTGCTCCTGCTTTGTTGGAATGAAAGCCTGCAGTCACATGGCACTCATCTGGACTGGTTTGAAAACCAGCAGAAAACCCCAAATCGAGCGTGCCACTTTTTTATAATTCTTTGAACCCTGCGGCTAATACATGTACTTCTACTGTGGTAGAGTTGAGCTGTTATCAGAGCAGACTTTACAACTTGAAAGCAGCAGGTTCTTATGTCGTAATGTGTAACATGTGAAATGTACAAAAAAAATAATAGCCGCCTGGAGACGAACATAATTTCATGACAAGGTGTGCTCACTGGGTTTTATGAGTTTTTCCTTGAGGTCTGTTGGACTGTGGTGATGATCCAGGACACTTTAACATTCTATAACATGTATGGACATTTATCAACATGTGTTCAATATTCTTTATTGTGTCTTAACTGTTGATTCTCTGATCTGTGTTGGTGATTTCAATGGTTTTGTTAAGTCCTCTGAGATAACTACAGTTGTGATTGTGTTATGATCAAAGCTAATAGTAAAGAACACAATGAACATGATCTATTTACCATTATGTATTTTGACAATAAATGTGCGCCCTATACAGTAGCTACAAAACATGGAGTCAAAATAAATCCCCACTGAGAGAATAATAAAGGTTTATCTCATCGTATCTAATAACTCCATGAACTACTTTGATGTGCCCTAATCACATGTTTCTGCTGTTCACATAAACATTAAACCACAGCTGATAGAATTGTGTTCAAATGGTTTCCTGCGACCCAGGGGGGAAACTTCAATAATAAATACACATACATTACATGAAGACCTGCAATTACGGTCTATTATAAACAAGATTATTACAAATTACAGTTAATAGCAATATATAAAAAATCGTTGACGATCATGACTACTTTGTGTTGTCAGGTGGGAGGGTCGAGTTGAGAAACACTGACCTACAGGAGCCCCACCCACAGCTCTGCCCCAACGCACCCCATTAATCAGTGTTTGTAAGGGCAACGCCTGCGCTTTGTCCAGTCTAAGCCTGACAGAGCAGCTCGGGGTAAACAGGGCAATTACAGAGGAAGTGGCTCCGTGGGGCAAATCCAAAGGGTTGTCCCGTTACAGAGGTGTTTGGTGTTGATGAAGCCGTGTGCAAAGGTTGTTATGAAAACTAAATTGCCCCTTTTCTCAAGTCGCTGTAATCACTGCTTTCTGTTCAAAAAGACCACACACGCACTATTGGAGAAAGGCAAAGGAAAGTTTAAGGTCTAAAAGAATAACTCAAAATGACTTGTTCATTGTGCTTTTACAGAAAGATTTATCTAATCCCACTTAAGTCATGTAAATGCCATCGAAGAAACAATGATAATAAACAGACAGTGGTATGGCTTTTAAAAGGGAACAGATACAGAAAATACATAAAGTTTGATTTATCCAGACTCTAATCACTGCAAGCCCCAGTTTTCCACATTTACTAGCAAAATATACATTAAATGCATTAAATGGTTGAATAACATACCACCTCAGAGCTGTCTGCTGTGGAGAAGTGGCTGTCACAGTCGGCTCCTTCAAAGTGGACGGTCCAAGTGCCAGGGGAGCGGGGGTGTGGCGTCAGTCGGCAAAACCCTGGATGAAAACGTATAAACAACATGTGACAGCAATTGACGTACGCAGTTAAAGCTTGTGGCCTCCCACTTTAACAGACTCAGTACAAAGTTTTGTCTTCTAAAACTTAATTCGACTGGCTACAATAGTTATAGTAGCCAGTCGTTATAGTTATAGTTCATCCTAAATGAAATGCAAAAACAAGATGGTACAGTGGTCAAAGATTAGGGCTTCACATATAGACTGTATATAGATGGACAATGCTAACCCACTAGCTCAAAGAAGCCCAGAAGGGAAGTGCTCATGGACTTTTAAAAAAATTGATGGTGCTTTACTGATCGAACTATGCGGTGGTGAAATTGAATTTTGTAGTTTTCTTCAATCATTTTTCATTTTTTTATTGAGAACAGATTAAATGTTAAATAACGTTTGAGTAACAGCACCTCGTTGTAGCAGCGGGTCCAGGAAGTCCTGCAATCCGTTGGGGATGCTGCGCACCACGTCACAGGAGTATCCGTCCTCTGGGAGCAGGAAGGGTAACTGTAGATCCGGGTCCTCCTCCAGCTGCACCTCTCGCCCATCACTGCGGGCCAGTTCATCTGCAGTGTTCTCTGCTACTGCCACCACATGGTCAATCAGCTCCTGCAGCCACAAGCACAGGGCAACTTACTTTTCATCATGTTAGGCAAGTTATTTTAGCATTGGAATATATTACTACTTGAATGAATATTCTGCCATCATTCTACAATGTTATAGACTTGCAGCTGAATTACACTATGTTGAATAACCTTAATTATACAACACTGATCATGTAGAGAAAGCTAAAACAGAACACCTAACATTCAATTAAATTAGCATTTTGACTTTGATTCAGTCTCAATCCTGAATCTACAGCCTCAGTCCTAGATCTACAGCCTCAAGTCCTAGATCTACAGCCTCATGTCCTAGATCTACAGCCTCAAGTCCTAGATCTACAGCCTCATGTCCTAGATCTACAGCCTCGAGTCCTAGATCTACAGCCTCAAGTCCTAGATCTACAGCCTCAAGTCCTAGATCTACAGCCTCAAGTCCTAGATCTACAGCCTCAAGTCCTAGATCTACAGCCTCAAGTCCTAGATCTACAGCCTCAAGTCCTAGATCTACAGCCTCAGCCCCTGGATCTGAGAAGTACGCTGCAAAATAAATCTCATAGTAAGGGTCTTACAGGGGGGATGTAGGGCTCGTCGGGTGCACAGTGGTAGTTGCTCATGAGCGCATGCAGCTGCAGAGAGTTGAGTTTGAAGCAGGTGTTGTGGATGTTCTGCACGTCCTGCATCGAGTACTTATCCATTGTGAGTAGCGTAGTGGCCTGGAAAACAAACATAATGAAGATTTACACAGAGCCAGTCGCCGATACTATCAAGAAAGCAGAATCTAGAGTGAGAACTGTGTCTCCATAATCAAGAAAAAACTATTGTAACCAGATCCAATGCACGTTGTTCAATTGTTATTTACAAACGCAAAAGTAGGAAAGTACTGACTAGTATTAAATAATAGTAAACCAATATTACACCAAGATGTGCAATAATAAATTATGATTATTCTTTAATGTTCAATACTGTATCCATCTTCTACCGCTATATCCAGGGGCAGCAGTCTGAGCAGAGATGCCCAGACTTTCTTCTCCTCACACATATGCTCCAGCTCATATGGGTGAAGACTGAGGCATTCCCAGGCCAGCTGAGAGACATAGTCTCTCCAACGTGTCCTGGGTCTTTACCGAGAGGCCTCCTCCCAGTGGGACACCTCCCCAGGGAGGCGTCCAGGAGGCAAAAGGAACAGATGCCCCAGCCGTCTCGATGTGGAGAAGTAGCAGATCTACTCCTGTGTAACTGAGCTCTTCACCCTCCATAAAAGCAAGAGCATTCCCTTTGGACTAAGCTCCCTCTTCAACTCAACAGTCTGAGTCCGTTTGATCCAGAGACATACAAAAAACAACAATTTATTTGCTATTTGCAATAAAACCATATTGTAAAAACTGTGCAAGACTACACCAGTGTGCTCCAAGATAGTACACATCAGAGTTCTTGTCACGGCAGCATGCAAAAAAACTGTATCCAAGTACATAAGGTTGCAGTCTTTTCTTCTTCCCACTCGATTTCTCAGCTCAGATTTTGTACCATTTCTAGCTAAACCCCAGCAGGTACTCAAGGCAAACATGTGAAAATGTGTGTATCATTTCTTGTTACCTGCACTATTCTGCTAAGGTGGCAGTCCGCGGCTAGCTCCAGTCCCTGCTTCTCGGCCCAGGCCTCGATGTGGCTGAGCTGCTGCCGGAGGATGGCGCCCCAGTAGTGGCAGCACAGGCCCGAGTCGCTGTCCGTCACCAGTTTGTTGAAGAGCCACATGTTGACGAAGTGGAAGAGCTGAGAGAAGAGCTGGATGGTCAGAGCCGCGTTCACCCGGCAGCGCCTCAGCAACGACATGGCCCCCGTGAGCGTGTGCAGGACGTCCTCTGCAGATAACAGCAAAACATATGAGGACTGAGAGTGAAGAAGACAACTGAAGCCACAACTGGTGGTTAAATACTCTCACACACAGACTTAAGTTTCTTAGCATTAGGAGAGAACTGTTAAGAACTTTTAATAATGCATCGGTTTTATATAGCACTTTTCAGGACACTCAAAGACGCTTCACATTATTAGACCTGAGGAGGCTCAGGTCTTTTGGAGTGCAGGGGCCACTCCTGAAGACCTTCTATGACTCTGTGGTGGCATCAGCCATCTTGTAGGGTGTGGTCTGCTGGAGCAGCAGCATCACAAAGAGGGACAGGAAGAAGCTGGACAAGGTCATCAGGAAGTCCAGCTCAGTCCTGGGCTGTTCCCTGGACACAGTGCAGCAGGTGGGGGACAGGAGGGTCCTGAGCAAACTAACATCTATGTTGGGCCATGACTGTCACCCCCTGCAGGACACTCTCTCTGCTCTGGAGAGCAGCTTCAGTGATAGACTAATTCATCCTTGATGTGTGAAGGAGAGGTTCCGCAGGTCTTTCCTTCCTGCTGCTGTCAGACTGTACAACAATCAATAAGGACTAATGAACATCGCCAACCTGATTCCAACCTGTTTCTATGTGTCATGCATCGTTGCAATATCCTTATTTTATACAGTACCTGAATGTGCAATATACAGCTGCTAATGTACAGATGGAAACATACTGCTGCTAATGTACAGATGTAAACATATAACCACACTTTACTTGCACTAGAACACACAGTACTTTATACTTTGTATATAATGTTACATTTTTACATCTATTATTATTTTCAAGATAGAGTTTTTATACTTATTATAGATGCTAGAGTTAGAGATTTTGTTTTATTTTAATTAGGACAGCTACTGTTCAGGTAACGTGTGCGGTGTGCTCCTCTTTCCTACTGTTCTATTACTTGTGATGCAACACTGAAATTTTCCCACTGTGGGACAAATAAAGGATCTCTTAATCCTAATCTTTCACTCCATAGACAGTGGTGTTAAAATACTACTGTAGCCACAGCTGACCCGGGGTTCACTGACAGAAGCAAGGCAACCAGTATGTGCCATCGGGCCCTCTGACCACCACCAACCATTCACTCACACACAAGACTCATTCTAGGCAATGCGGGTAAACTGTCTTGCCTACAACACAACGGGAGTTTGGCACTTTACAGCCGCCCCACTGCGATTCAGATTCAGAAACCTTTATTGATCCCCGTCAGGGGTCCGTCAGGGGTCCGTCAGGGGTCCGTCAGGGGTCCGTCAGGGGTCCGTCAGGGGTCCGTCAGGGGTCCGTCAGGGGTCCGTCAGGGGTCCGTCAAGGGTCCGTCAAGGGTCCGTCAGGGGTCCGTCAGGGGTCTGACGGGATCTGGCTTTCATGTGAAAGTGTGATTGTATCACAATTATTCATCATACTTTAGACTTGGATTTTCATTTCTTGTGAAAAGTTAAAGGAAAAGAAAGAATACATTCAATACATCTGCTGTCCACATATTTTTAGAGAAAATGGACCGATTTAGAAGATATTTGTAGAGATTTACAACATTAATACCTCACATAGTTTTGTTACCTATTTTGGGCCTCTGTGGATTATGCTCCTCTGGGTCGTCCAGGAAGGCAGGCATGTAGTTATTTAAATCAGCCTGTAGACAGTGAACCAAGTACCTGCAAAAACATAGGTCAAGATTATTAGTTACCTTGGTCTAGGAACTGTGTAGGAGCTCATAATATACCACAGATTTGGTCACTATGCACATTAGGCAATTAAGACTTTCTAATCATTCTATAAATATTTCCCCTTCCAGTTTACACACACACATTTTGGTCCCCAGAGTAATTGAGTACAAACATTCTCAGAAAATCCCAATATTCAGGGCTTTTTAAAAAAAATGTCTGTTGTCTATATGATTTGACAGCTTTTTGTAGGAATATTGGCGAATAATGCAAAAACTTTATACAAGACACAAGACTCCTAAAATCAATTACAATATATCATGCTGGTGGGAAGCCAGGTTGCTGTATAGAAAGTGTCCTGGATTCAGGTGCCTAAAGGGCTAAGGGTAATTTTCGTTGTGCTCTACATACCTGCATTACTTTGTTGTGGTGGTTCTAGTAAAAAAATACAAATAAAAAAATCCCTGTTTGTGGTCTTAACATGACAGAGTGCAAAAGTTCAAGCTGTCCAGACTCTTCCATCGATCTATGGGTCTGTCCATCCATCTTTGTGCGTACCTATTTGCCCGTCAGTCCATGTATCCATCTATCAATCCAACAATCTTTAAAATCTTGTGGAGGTCCAAAATAATTGATCTATGTCCCTTTTACGCTGTTATGTGAAATTTTCTTTTAATTATATTTTAATCTATAAAATCAACCTAATGTGTATTTTCATCTATTCATATTTTATTTCATTATTCCCTTCCTGTACATAGTTAAACCTTATAATAGAAAAAAAGATTGTGGATTACAATGCAAGTTTTCACAGTGTTTTAAAACTGATTTATAACTCATTCATAGCCTGGTCTTACCACACCATCGTACTCATTTCATTTCATACAAAGGTCTGGATTTCCTCAATTGAGCACTATTAACAGATGGGAGGGGTTAATTCCTTTTGCAGATTGAAATGATTGGATCTCAGTTTACCGTGACATATGTAATGCGCCCGAGTGAGGCATTTAGCATTTAACCTAGCCATCTCCATTGCCACTAACGGAGCCTGTGGGGAGTAGAGTCACAACATCTTTGCCAGCAATTACATTTGCTAAACATTCCTCTTGCTGCGGCTTTAATTTCTTGATATTTGGGAGACGTATCAGAATGGACTGAAGAGCTTCCTTTACTATCGCATTTGCCTTCATTGTCAAACTACATCCACCAAATTAGGCGCAAACTCTTGACGTCAACGACATCAAACTACAACACCCGCCTCTCCTGCTTGCGGAATGGTCGAAGGATTCAACCGAGGTGACCGCAGCCGCTAAGATCAGACCCAGACGTACATGTAGGGAAATGATAATTGACCGGAGTTTACCGGTGGCTAAGGCCAGGCTATGTACTGTAATTCACTGTCTGAAAATAAAGAATATTTTTTTTAAAAGTCACCACAATGATCTATCCAAGTATTTTTCACATAATAACTATCGGCAGACAAAGGCCGCTCTTTACACAAACACTCGTGTACTGACTTGAAGGCCATCTGGACGAGGTGTGCGAGGACGTCCTGAGCGTCCAGCGTGATGCGGCTGAGATCGCGGTCCTGTTTGACAAAGTTGAGTAGCTCGGAGGCGTTGGCCATCCAAAAGGCCAGAGCACCAGCAATGTTCTTCTGCTTCTGCAACAAGAGACAACAACAATCTGGAAATGTTAGTGAGACACAGGACAAGGGAAATGCACATGTGTTAAGAGAAGAGGGGTTTCTGTTTGGAGAGGCAGCCAGAAGGAGCAGGTGTTACTTCAGGGATAGAGTTATGCCCCGCCCACCTCTCTCTCTTTCTCTCTCTTTGCCGTCAGGAATAGTCACTAATGTTGTGATGTAAGTGTAGTATTTGAAGTAAAACCTGTTGAGCTGTTTGCTGAGCTCTGAACACAGCAAACAAAAGGGAGATGTTGAAGACCTTAAATTACATATATTTTTCCAACTCTGGCCAGATACCTTAATATATTATATACATTGATGTATATTTTATTTATTTATTTAGCTTTTACCCACGTCACAACACTGTTTCCTCCTCAAAACCAGACCTGGAGTTTTCTTTAGATCCATCCAGGCCAATATCAGGAAACATGTAAATCCGGAAACATGTAAATCCGCAAACAGGTAAATCCGCAAACATGTAAATCCGCCGCTGTCTCAGTCTTGTAATAGCATGATGTCATTGTACCACTATGACATCACCCATATTTAAGTTTTGTCAATATCGCAGGTAAAATTAGGTTCTTTACACATGGTTGTGTTTGCAGCTAGTCATTTTAAAATTTGTAAAAAAAAAAAAAACAACGAACTCAACTCCTCACTCTAGTGGCAGCATAGAGACTTACAGGCAGGAAGCATTTTTAGTCCTTCCACCATGTTCTATTGTATTTGAGATATAATTTCATGTCCTAAACATGAAATGACAAAGTAAGAAATCTCATTATCTTTTAATGGTCGAAAATAATGCATGGCATTTCGTCTTTGAAATAGGAGAAATCAGGCTGAAAGCTGCAAGTTGGAGGACCTACTCGCGCAAAGTGACTAAAAACCCTTTTGGTTTTTGGTCTATACATTTTGCCTAGACATAAAGTTTGACAAAGTGATAAAGTTTGTTACTCCTGTTTAATATACAATGTGTGTGTGTAGAAACATTTGTGACCTCCTTTTCAGAGAGAATGCAGGGGGTATCAGCTGACACAAGACATTATGCATTTACTTTTGAATGTTCACAGAGATAAAAAATCATTACAGTACTTGCTGGACTAGAAGACACAACTTTTTTTAATTTCTTTATGTATTTTTATTTTGTTAGTTATGTTATTTTGTCTCCAGGATAAAAAAAAAATCTAAGCGCTATAGGGATGGAAAGTACATTTACTGTCAAAATAGATTTACCAGAGTGCTTTGATCATCACGAGTCAACAGTGCGTTAAAACACCTCGTCATTTTAACCACGTTGTGCTTCGTTTTGCTAATTAGTTGTTGGTTTAGATTACATTTTAACCACGTTGTGCTTTGTTTTGCTAATTAGTTGTTGGATTAGATTACAACATGAGAACCTGCGGCCTTTATTCAAGTGCAGCGTATATGTGACAAAATGTACTTTCTCTTCAAATACGGCTGGTGTGGTTTAAACCTGTAGTGAGCTTAAAAGTCCAGAAAGTACTGCAAAACTGACATAACGCCAAGTGTCAGAAGCTGATGACCCGTGCCCCACCACTCACATGAGCACTCATCTATCCCCGCCTTGGAAAAACAAAAATTAAACAAAATGAGGAATGTCCCTTGATTCAGTTCAGCCAGAGTACAAGACATGGAGGCAAGAGCATCCACAAAAGGAAAAATAAAATCCATATTTAGGAGACATTACATAATGCAGACAGGTAAACAAACATGGAACCAGAGAGACAGAAGCATGAGGAGATGGGGGTCTCTCTCAAGACATGACACTGAACATTATGCAGAGTACGATGGGAAGGAAGTGGCCGTTTTTGGTTTTATTTTAGTAGGAGGCAGGTCCAGGAAGCTCAATGAAATTAGTCGGTTTGATGTTGCTGTTGTTGCTTAGTTTTCCAGCTGTTGGGAGGATGGATTATTATTATTATAAAGAGTTCACTGAAGACTTGTTAGAGAGTGTAGGAAAAGGAAGCAGCAGCAACACTGGGGGCTGGTCCCAAAGCATACAGAAAAGAACAGATGTATGAGGTCGGCGACATGAAATCACATTATGGCGTTCAGCTCCGTAAAGTCTCTCATAATCAACGAATGCATAATCAGTATATTTATACAGGCATTAGTTTCATTAGTCTCGTTATATTGGGTTGTTAGGTGGACTACATAACATAAGTGGAAATACAGGTATAATAGGGGAATCTAATGGAGGCCTGAAGGGGGTTGGGCTTCATATTTTTTTGTTTACTGTTTTAACAAAAAAGAGAGATAGGATTTCCCAATGTGTAATTGTGAAAGCACCTCTATGGTATTCGTTAATTAAATCCAAATAGTCAATCACTAAAGTGCAGAAAGTCTTAAACTAGTAAAATTAGGAAAATATGTCTTTAGCCGTCTTAAATCAACATTTGCCAATGACACAGGAAAAAATGTCTTGTTTTAAAAAGCGATTCAAAATTCAAGAAGGTTCTCACTTGGACTGCACTTGAAATAAAACTACCCTTTTTATGCATGGCTTACATTCTACAAATAACCCACAAGAGCTAAACTAACTAGCAGCTATATATGTTTTAAGGATGTAAACCCCCCTCTATATACTTTTATAACCAACTGAACTCACGAGCACAGAGATATCAAACTCGTTGGATGTAGGTCTGAGAGCTATTGCAGCTGTCTAAAGCCGTGCATACAGTAAAACACAGCTGCTGGGGCAGAAACAGGACTGAGGGCTACGGAAAGATCGTGCCAGTGATCAGAACTACACAAGCCATCAAAGATTTCTTCAGACTTTGAAGAAAAGATAACTGTCATGTTATATTAGCGGTTAAATTATGTTTTGGAGTATCCATGTGGCGCATGAGAAGCACGCTGTAAAAAAAAAGCATACAAAGTCCTCGAAAAAGAAAAAGTGAACCACATTATAGCGAGGGACCACTGTATACTGCTTGTCCCATTGGCAAATAAGTCTATCTTGATTAGGAGTACACCACTGTTTTTACTTCTTTGCAAATCAAAGGAATTTAACTAATATTTTGTGGCTTTCACTATTCTAATTGCACATGTTTCAGTCATATCGACCACCTCAGAGAAAGAACATGTCCAGGTGATAGAGAGTGAGTTGGAGTCAGACTTCTGCAGCCGCATGTACAGTATACTAGGGTCTATCCTACCTGGTCCCCTTCAGGAATCTCCTGTGTGAAGAAGGAGGAGGAGGAGGAGAGGAGGACGTTCACAGGACAGAGAGAGAACACGTCAACAGCTACAGTATGGACACAGCCATGTAACAGACACACTACACACATGAGCAGGGGGCGCTAGAGCCGTTGGTCAAAACAATGTCCTCTACAGAGGAGGAACAACGTGAAATATGTAACGTTGGATTTAAGCACCACTTATTATTTTGGTAGCTTGCTTTTTCTGTTTTACTGTCACCTCAACAAAAAGTAAGTACAGTGGAGCTAGTACGTATTCAGAAGTTGTCAATTGTGAACTACAAGCTGCAGTGTGCTACCTGCTACAGTGTGCAACCACAGTAAGTGAGCCACCTGGATGTGCGCTACCAGCTAATACGCCATCATGGATGTATTATATCTGGATAGGGTATCACTAGTGGCCCTTGTCGTCTTTAACTTTTTTTCTTCTTAAATCCGTTTTTTTATAAATCCACACTTAAGTGCCACAAACTCTGCTCCATTATCTCCCGCTCTAGCTTCGCTCTGATAGACAGCGCCTGATTGGTCAGAACCATAGACTGTATATATTAATGGACAGAGTCACGCCTATCTCTGCCGTTCTAACTAATGGGCCAAAAAATGTGCTCTACTGGAGCAATCCAAAATGGCCGCGAGTGGTCCTGCCCACAAGAAAATTGTGAAAAAACGCATCTGCTCATGCGTCAGCCGGCGCAACTCCATTCATTTGAACGAGAGACTTAAAAAATTCACAGCAAGTAAACTAGAGTGGACCAAAAAAATCCACCCCCCTCAGCATTGACACACATGTGGAACGAAGCTTTGGGCCAAGAGCCAACTTTTGGTCCATCCTGTAAAGACGTTTTTGAGAGGTCTGCCAATGCTATATGTTAGCATTCTGGGTCCACCCCCATCGGCCCGGGGTGGTATTGCAAGCATGTCAGCGCACGTCATTTTGGCCACTTTTGAGCTGGGACCCTCCCCCACTGGGCAGGACGCGCCGTGCCCTTCTGTGCACGTGCATGAGAGCCACACACGCGTATTTGGCACAAAGCATCATGGGATCTCTTCCACTGTGCAGAACCAGGAGGACCAGAGAAATGACCAAATATGGTGAGTTCTGCTAATCTTTCGGTGCCCATGGTGGCACATGCGCTACTGAGCACAAGCCATTGATTTGAATAGGGCGCCATCTTGGATCGCCAGGGCTTGTGCGTTACCAGCTAGTACGTATGTGCAAGAACCTGGGGAAGACCTACGTGAAACGTTTTTTCTCCATCAGTACCACAAAGGTTACATTGTATGTAAGTATTGGGTAGAATATTTGTTGTTTGTCAATAATTATTTTCTGCACCATTATACAAATAAATAGTTTTAAAAGTACAATTTTATTTCCTGGATTTGTTTTACATTCTGCCACTCCCAGTTGACGTGCATGTATGATAACAAAATCGAGATGAGACATTCATTTTTATGTGGGACACTTGCACAATTGACAACTGCCAAATACTTACTATTAGAACCACTGTATATTGTTTGAAAACAAAAATTTAATTTAGGTTGCATTCTTGTTGTAAAGTTGGAGGGCAGGTGCCAATACAACTCTATGGGATTTAAAAAAAAATAATAATAAGTGTTTTTTTTAAAGAAAAGTTTATTTTATATCTGATAGCCATTAGATTCACAAACTATTATTCTTATGTCTCAAAGTCTTTTACACTGGTTAACATTTTACATGTTTTTTATATTAACAGAAGTGAAGTGAATCTAGACACGTTTATGAGAAAAATCAGACCATAGTTGACATAAACTGACAAAGATGTGGAACTTTGAAACAGTTTTTGTTTATGTGGATTGGCCCAGGAATTACATGAGATAAGCTCCAAATTAAGACTAGAATCTTCCAGTTACCTGCAAATATGTTCAGCTTTCTAAACACCTGAACTCATGACTGCTGAAGCAGGAATTTCAAACCTGTACATTGTAGATCTGAGCGATTTCTCAGGAATTACAAAGAAATCAGATGCAAATTAAGACTAGAATCAACCACAGTTACCAGCATAGACTGCCCAGCTGCCCTCCAACACAACTTTAAAACTAGAAGAACGTTGCCAAGTCACATGAACGCAACCTGTTTGAGCATTTTAACTGATTTCTTTTCAATAAATATCCAAAAAGCTTAACGCTAAATCAAGAACCAATGACGATGCGATCATAAACACACAACACAGATGACACAAAACTACTAATGACAAGACACAACAGTTCTTACAACTACCGGGCTGTAGTTTGCAAGACAAGAGAGGGTGAGAATCAAAAAAAGCAGTACATAATTGTGCTTTGTAGACATTTGATAAGGGATAAAAATCACATATGGGTAATGGAACAGTGAGTAGAAGGCTTACTGACCTGTATGACTCCCTCCATCATGCTCACCATCTTGTTGACTATGGCAATGACCTTGTGGGTGCGCTCCGAGGGGGACATGTCGGACCGGTAGGACGAGGACAGCACGAAGCGGCACGCCATGTACAGCACGTACGTGGGCGACAGTTTGAAGTGCACAGTGGAGCTGTTGGTGTAGTTGATGATGGCCGACAGAAACGTGTCTTCAGCTGGACAACAGAAGGAATGTATTAAGTTGTAAGTAAGAAGCAGGTTGTTAGTGGAAGTAGTAGGTAGTAGGAGATGGTAATAGTAGTAGTAGTAGTAGTAGTGATAGGCAGTGATCCCTTTCTCAATGTGGGCCTCGCCAACGTCAAAGTAAGTAAGTAAGTAATCTTTATTTATATACCGCCTTTCACAGACCAGAGTCACAAAGCGGTTTACAATTGTTATTTTTGGGCACTTGTCCTCTCACTCCACCCAGAGATGGGAGCGGGGTCGCCGAACAGGAGGCGCATGCCAGACCTATTTCACATATTTTTAGGGGTAGGGGAAACCGGAGTACCAGGAGGAAACCTACGCAGACACGGGGAGAACATGCAAACTCCACTCAGAAAGGCCCTGGTCCGACCGGGATTCGAACCCAGGACCTTCTTGCTGAGAGGCGAGAGTGCTATCCACTCAGCCGCAAAGGATAGTGGTGATGATCCAGGACACTCGACATTCATTTATGGACATTAATCAACATTTATAAACGTTGGTCATTTGCCCCTTATGGACCGATGGCTGTATGTGTTTTATTGCCTTTCTTGTGTTTGAACTGTTTGATTCTCTGATCTGTGTTGGCGAATTCAACGGTTTTGTTAACCCTTTAAGGATCACCTAATTTCGCCTGCTCCTTCTTGAATTATGATACTCAAATGGAAATGCTTATTGTGTGGACATCTTGTGTCTGATTTTGTGTTATGAGGCCTCATTTGAAAGGTAACACCTTCTAGTTTCTGGAAATGTATGTTACAGTTTGTTAGGAGGAACACAGTCTGCATTACACCTTCTCAAACATGAGTCAAAGTTCGTTTTTTTTTTGTCTCGAAAAAAAACAGGCAATTTCAAAATAATCTCCTGAAAACATACTTTATGGTATGTTGTTCAAACTCACCAGAGCAGATGTTTGTGGTGTTGGCAACAACTGTCTGAAATTTTAGACCTTTAGGTGAAACCATTTTGATGCTGGGGGCTTTTTTGTGACTAATGGGCACATTCGGCACAAGCGGTCCATTTTTGTGCCAATTGTGCCAAAGTGTTTTACATGCAAATTATCAACGTTATTACACCAAAAATCAAATTATATCATTTTTTGGCTATTACTCTTGCTATAAATAGGATTTTTTCCAGATATTGAAATGTTTGCAGAAAAGCTATTATTTATATAGATATAGCGCATGTTCTCCGTGGAAATGCTCCGCCTTCCTCTCTTACGCATTCAAATAACACTCAAACAGTGGGAGGAACCTTGAAGTCCGACACATCTCCTGAAACCTGAGATTATTGGCTACAAGATGGTGTGATTGACATCCAAATCGGCCAATGGTAGTCAAGACAATGCTGTCGTGACGCACAGATATCTATATGACTGGAGCGGTAAAGTTAGGTACGCTTGTTTTACTCAACTCACTCTACCTTCCAAACCATAGCACTGAAAAGGTCGGGAATGGGCTTGTTTGGAAGGGAAGACTGAGAGGAAGACGAACATACCCAGTGACGCTAGGTAAATAGTAACATGCCTACTTCATACAGTGCGCAAAGAACAGGTTTTATTTTTGTTTGTGCAACTTTCAATACTCAAATGTGTCGTTACAACTGGATATCTACTATAAGGATGACTTTGTAGAAAAAACAACTGGATATAATTATTCTATGAACCCTCACAAACAAAACGAATGCACACATGTGTGGATTAGACGTGATTTGCCCCAGAATATTAGCATGAAAAGGTAAGAAAGGACGATGTATATTTTATATATATATACAGTTTGACTCCTTTTTCATACTTTTGGTTATATTTAATGTTTATTTTAACATAATACGCGTTTAGAGGTGGGAATAAGCTTTCAAAAGAGATATAGCTTGACTATATTGACACAAGTGAATTCTAATACTGATGCTGTTAAATGAAAAATATCTGAATCCTCCCTGTACAGGGAGGGTGATCCTTAAAAGGTTGTTAAGTCTTCTGAGACAACTACTGTTGTGATTTAGGGCGATACATGAATAAATTGAATTGAAAATGAATAGTAGTGAGAAATAGTAGCAGCAGCAGAAGGCAACAGTAATACCAAGTAGGCAACAGTAGTAGTCAGTGGCCAGTAGGCACTAGTAGTAGTAGTAGTAGTAGTGGCAGTAGAAGTAACCAGTACTAGTCCGTAGTAGGCAGTAGTAACAGCAGCAGCAGCAGCAGAAGGCCACAGCAGTAGTCAGTAGTAGTAGTACTAGTAATGTATTGAGGTTTTAAATACATTGAAATATTCGTTCCGAAGGTTGTCTAGTAATTATATTTCAGTTTAGCTTGGGCCAAACACAAACAAATGACGTCCAGAAACAATGTATTTTTTGGGTTGGATTGATTCTTTGATTGAACGGTGTTCTGAATATTTCTCCACATAAACATTTAAGAACATTTAATTTTATGATTCAAAAAAGTATTTTGTCACTAAATTCCAAATATGATTTCATTAAAGCCAAAGACCACGCCCCAGGACATGATCCAAGCGGAAGGAAGGAAACTTAGAACTAATTCAATAAACATGACAGTTTTAGAGAGAAGGCAGAGAGGGTGAATAAGGACAGGGATTGTGGGAAACTGAAACACCTATTCCTGGTCTTCTACGTTTTCAAAGACCCCTGATACATTAACCATTTATCGTTTTCCTAAACTATTTTGGTTGTGAATAACAACTGAAAAAACACAAACAAAGAAGCTATAAGCCTAGCACAAACTGGCCATCTGGTCCAGTAGTGTGGATTTGCTCCTGTCACAGTGTGGGTGGTCATTCAATACTTTCCATGTATTGACCAGTGCATTATTGCGGTGAGTGGTCAGTGCTTACAGTTTTCTCTGAACTCGATGCTGGCTGGTAGAGTCATCTCTGCCCTGTCCCCCTGAGCGTCCTGAGCCCTGTGGGAATAAAAGCATGCAAAAGACAACATGAGCTGTTTGTGGTTAAATAAAAAACAGTGAAATACCAGGAAGTGCCGCCGTACCTGCCGTCCTGCTGCTCCGCTCGAATCATCGGCTTCACCATGCCTCGCTCCATATCCAGTTTCCCTGAGCTCTGCAGAGAAAACAACACACATCTCAACACTTTTGGAATCTATAAAATCAAAATAATGACTTCAGAGTTACAGTAAATGCCAGACAGCTATTAACTGTATTTCTGCAATTTTGTTGTATTTTATATATAGTGGGTCTGTGTTTTTATGAATCCCCACTGGTGCTCTGTCTGCAAATGAAGTTCCTCATAGATAAAGTTATTTCAATTTGAACAGAACTTCTACAAGATATTTTTTTAACTGTTACCTTTATTTTAAATGGCTCAAAAATACAGTAAATCCCACTAAGCTATGAACATGATATGTTTAATCCGAACCATTTCAAATGGTTCCGAAGTAACTCGCAAAACACACACGCTGAACAACTAAATGCTAAGTTCCCACGCCTGTCGCACTTTCCTCACTGCTTTAAGGGAAAGACTACAATTTGTCCCTGCTCTATATTTGATCAGAGGCGTGTTTCATGTGGGTATGCTACATATCGCTGTGTGAGTCATGGACATGACCGGCTAAGATGTGGAAGAAAGTACAAACAAAAAAACACAAGCTTGAAATACAGTTATCTCGCATGCGTGAAATGTATGATAAAGATACAACTCCAACAGGTTTCTTTTTAAGTACAAAATAACCAGGAACCCCAAAAAAAAGCATGCCAGTTAAGGTTGTTTGGTTCCTCTATATCAGACAACAGTAAGTTAGCGATGTCATTACCTTATGAACTTACTATTGTCTGGTATACAAGAACCAAATAACCTTTTTCTACAAAGAAGACCAGATGAACATTCCTAAACTATCAAAAGCATGCCAGGCTTACCTTGCTTGTCGGCAGTGCGGCTCCACTATGGACATCTCCGTGAAGGTCAAAAGTCGTTTCTGCTACACTTCTGCACAGGAGACAACACGCAATTTACAAAGCAGGAAGTCAGGGAAGTGCGCCTCATTCCAGTGACTGCAGAGAAGTGACTGAGCTAATCTGAGCGCATGCAAACCACAGGGAAAGAGGCGTGGCCAGAGGCAGCAGATGACGGCTAGTTTGACATATCCTCATAACAAATAACTAATTGACTTCTTTCAGAATGAGAGCAGGTCCTGAGAGAGCCATAGCAATTAACTTTGGCTTCGACGTTACACACACGACGACAGGCTAATGAAGGTTGATAAACAGCAACGAGCAAACAGAAAGAGTAAACAGAAAGAAACAGAAACATGCTTTATGGCAAAGAGAGGCGAGTCATTTAAACCCAGAGAGTTCTCCGCTTTTGTTTGAGGGACTGTAGCTCAACATCATAATTAAACCACAATCTTGTTGCGTGCCATACTGTATCTCTTGATTGTATTAATATCCATCAGGCAATGTTCATTTTACAATTGTGGCATGAAAATATACAAGTGAAACTCTGGGAAATTAGAATATAGTTCAAAGATTTATTTGATTCTGTAATTCAACTTAATATAAATAATATACAACTCCTAACATAAAAAGTGAGATATATAATTGGTTTGTTGAAAATATCTCAGCAGCTTAATATCATCTCAATAAAATATCTCAGGAAATTTGAAATCCAGATACCAATCCAAGTCCCAGGATTATAGAGAGCGCTAAACCACAGATTTTTAAGCCCAAAAAATGGGTGTGACACAATTGTTACTGAGCTAGAGGACCTGTTAATGTATGTTAATAGGAGCAAGAGTCTGAATCATATTGGTTTCACATTTTAAGCTGAATAACAGAAATAAAATCACTTTTGAACGATATTCTAATTTTCCGAGTTGTAACTGTATCTTCATTGGCCAAAATATGAAACCCCCAAAGCATTAGGATAAATACAATATGTACGGTGAGTAAATCGCTAGCTGTCAAACACTAAATGCTGTGCCAGTCTCGAGTCTGCCGACTTAAACGCTCAAAGACAACATGTGTGCCAAGCCCCTCGCATTAATCGGCTTCATTCAGAGGATGTGTCTGAGATCAGCAAGTGAAACACACTGGAGTGGAGCCCAGAAAACCACAGGGAGGATTCCACGTCCAAAGCATCTCCTTCTCCTTCAGACTGATATGACTCTGGCTTGTGTTAAATGGCAGCTGGCACTAGCTTTGAGAGGCCGTACAGGCTGAGACCAAATACATACATCCAGTTCAATGACAACTTCAATTACGGAGACACTCGCTAAAGAGAAACAGCTTGAAAAACCTTACCACAAATTAGAAGCGATGATCATTAGCATTCGTGACACTAACGCAGAATGGCGCGGATGCTCAGTTTTGAATAGATGTAATATGGCATTTCCAAAGAATCTTGTCAGTGAAGTTTAAATTAAAGCTGGGGTAAGTAACTGTTCCCAGCCATAAAATACATTGTGTTTGTACCCACAGAGATATTGAGTGGTTCCTTGCCAATGCAGCAGGGTCTAAGGACAGTGATGATCCAGGACATTTATGACATTCATTGACATTGGTCCTCCAGCTCCCTATGGACCAATGGCTCCAATGTGTTGTCCAAACCGGTTGATTCTCTGATCTGTTGTGGGTGAATCGACAACTTTCTAAAGTCCTTCGAGACAACTTCTGTTGTGATTTAAGGCAGTACAAAAATAGTCGTGAATTAAATTTAAATTCTGTTAGAAAATCAAACCACATCATCCTAACATCATCTTATGAGTAGACTTTATCTTTTCCATACATCTAAATATAAAAAATAAAATTGGTGTGAGTGTCATTTGACGTTTTAGTAAAAGTACTCTTTTTTACTTTTTTTCCTCTTTACTTATGTCTGAAAACAGTTTGATTCTGTCCCTAGTTAAGATCTAGATACATAGATTCTACATAGATTATTGTTTGTATAATAGTTATTGTTTACAATTTAAAAGCTGGGTATTCAAGTAAGTAATATTTCTAAACCCATGAATGTGAATGCTGCCAAACACCTTTCTTAAGTAACTTATTCAACCTATTGTGTATACAGTATAAGTTCTTCCTTCTTTGGTACGTGTGTGAGAATGAGGCTCAGGCCACGCCTCGTCCCGTGACTGGGAGATGAAAGGGCAGCCTTCCTGCTAGAACCCAGGGCCTCGTGTTTGCACGTCTCAACCCACCAGACCCTCCCCCTTCTTCATCTGGGACTGAAACTACCACCACAAACCTCACTGCATTCAACTTCTATAACAAACAAGAACTTCAAGGAGAAATGAATAACAAAAGGGAAATGGCGCTTGAATTTCATGTAAACAGACAATAGATAGATTGGTTGTAAGCTAGAGGACCAGATCAATATTGTCTAGTACATTGAGTAGCAATATTTAGTATATATTATTGTAATAATATATAATTCAATTCGATTTGTTTGTTTATTTGTTTGATTGTTTAGCCCTAAATCACAACAGTTGGTTTTTTGTCTATAAATTTTGTTATATTATATTAAGGAACTTTTTTTTTCTGCCATGTAAGAGGTGTGCTAAAAAATCAAAAGATTGAGTGATGTCATTCTCAAGTTTTGTAATAAAATCAAAAGACACCAATCATGTGGCAGTAACAGTGTGAGAAAATAATCAAAATCTGTCAATACAGGGGTAAAATGGCAATTCTTTTTTCGCTAGATTACCCAGATTTTAAACTTAAACAAAAAATAGTTTCCATGATACTAATATCAATCCTCAAGCCTTACCCAGATTTATGTCTCCCCCTCATCATGGCGGCTGTTTGGCCCTTTCCTCCCTGGTCAAACATGGGGTCCACGAACTTGAAGACGTGGGCAGAGCCAAACTGGATGGTGGACCCTGAGCGCAGCACGGTCGTCTCCGCGATGCGCTGTCCATCGACAAATGTGTCTGCGTCAGGGCCATGGGGCGTCACGGTGACCATGCCCTCGCTGTGCATGAGGTTACAGTGATGGGGGAGGATGCCCGGGCCCAGCAGCTGTGCAGACAACAGCACTGGTGTTAAAATAATCAATGTGCGCGGAGTTAGCCAAAAGGACGGTTTAACGGGTGTAAAGGGATGTTTAAAGCTGATACCATGTAAAAATCTGATCAAAAATAAATATATACGGAGGAACAAGAGAGTGCACTGAGAAGAGAGGGACAGGGGGTGTAGGGTCAGAGAGTGATTGGGTCTGTGGGTGTTGTATCTATGTGTATATGTGTATAAATGTGTGTGTGTGAGTTTGTGCGTGTCTGCATTATATGTGTGTGTGTCTTCCTGTGTGTGTGTGCGTTAGTTTATTTTGTCTGCCGTGTGTGACGTGCTTGTTGTATGTGTTGCTGTATGTGTGTGCAAGTGTGCATGTTCTATGTGTGATTATGTGTACGTGTGTGTTTTGTTTTATGTTGTATGCATGAGAGGGTTTGAGCCAAATAAGTGTCCGCTTCTTCTAACCCCTTTTCGCACTTTTCACACATTTCACATCTTGTTTCCTGTTGTATCCTATTTAATGTTGTAATTTTATACAAGTTTGAAATAAATAATAATAATTGATTGATAGATAGATGTGTACAACATATTATCTGCCTAACATTATTATACACAAACTATACAGCAGTAAGAAAATGTATCAATAGAATAGCAGATGTATGGGAAAGAATGCTCACCTGTATGGCTCCATCGTCTGTGCAATCAGAGCCCACTTCGGTGATGCTGTGCTGGAGTCTGTAGAGCTTTGGTTTGTCCCGCGAATCAGAACCGTCTGAACAAAGTGGCAACAGGCTTGAAAATTGTAAGAAGTTCACCGTAACACATGTATTTTATTTTGTATACATTGAATCTGAAAAAAATCCACGTGTCATCTACTTATCAAGTATACAATGTTATTCTTGTGCTTTTTGGCAAAGTGGAGACAGTGTTAAAGTTAGTGAAAAGGAGGATTAGTTTAAGCTACGCAGCATATTAGTTAGCAACAGAAATACAAAAACATATTTACATATGTAATGATATGTTGGTATTCATATATTTAAAAAAAACAAAATACAAAAATAGAGTTGAAAGTTTATTCACCCAGGTAGAAATGTCATTGTTTTTGACATGTTTTGAATTATAAATGATCAAACTTTTTTTTTTTCACTCATAATTTTCTATTTTTTAGCTATATCATTGAGGTGAAACAGGGAGATTTCTAAAGTGCAGTTCATGCAAGGCGACGCAGGAATTTACAGGAATTAGAAGGCTTTTTGCCAAGCAAAATGGGCGGCCTCTTCCACAACTACCACCAAAGACTAAAAGCTGATAGATGTTGGAAGGGGAAATACACACTATTGAGAACTGGGGAATGGAGACTTCTGGTCAGGGTCAGAAGAGTTTTTAAATCCTCAAATTATAATATCAATGCATTGGTTTTATAAAGTGTTTTTGGACACTCACCAAAGTGTCAATTTTGGAGGCATTTAGGCACTGATGCTTCACATATTTTTACTTAGACTCCATAAACTGTGGTGATAAACTACTGTAGCCACAGCTGCCCTAGGGCACACACTGACAGAAGCGAGCCAACCTAAGCCCTTCCCCGCTTAGTTTCAGAGGTCTGATAGGCTCTGGCTTATGGTTACAAATGTGGCAAAAATAGAAAATTCATTTCTGCCTGGGTGTGTAAACATTCAAGCCAAACTGTAAAAAACTACTCACAAAAAGTGCAGAATATTTGGCTTTCAGGTGAAATTTCAGGATAAACCTAAAAGGCTCAACAGATGATATTAGGCTTAGTTTTTTATTGACACTTACATCATTTATACCTTTTACATTTCCTACATTTTTTTCAGCCAAATGCCAAATACCTCCAACTGTTTGTGAGTTGTGTATATCTATAACCAAACCATCTAAGGTTTCTGTGGTCTGTGCTCAAAAGTGGAGCAACACGTTGTGCAAAAAAAAAGGGAGTGCGTTTTCGCAGTTTTTACCTTCATGGTGCCGATATGCGTAGTAGGCATAGTGATTTCCTCGCCCTATGCAGGCAGGTAGACAGGCAGCAGGCAGGACCAAGAGGAGACATGCACAAGGCCCCAGACACACACACACACGCACATACACACACAAACAAACGCACACACGTAAACCATGCCACCAGGAGGAAAAAAACAGACAGAGCAGAGGGTGAAAATGCAGCCAGGAGGAGAGCACAGCATCACCTGGTTATACTCATATACACACACAGCATTCATTCACTATTTACATAAATATTGTTCTAAAAGTTTGTGCAGTTTCGCTTAGATGGTTTGGATCACTCAAAAATAAATAATCATTTTCCATCTACAATTTGTATCTATCTATTCTTAAAATCACAAATGGGTGATTAACATTTATACGCCTATTTTAAAAATGTGAATGCAGTCCAAAACAGACCATAACATAAAATGCATAGACATGTTCACACTTCTGCCAAGACCAGGTTCTGAAACTTGTTTCTAAAACCAAAACACCCAATCGTTCTTGAGTGAGTGTGCAATACTATATACTCTTATTGCAGGAATATAATTAGCATCTTTAGTCAGTTTATTTGAACGCAGTTGCTATGCGGCTAATGTAAGTGTTTTCATAGTGGTAGAATTGGGCTATTGTCAGAGCCGAAATTATGGACTTTGTATTTTGAGTCATAGTTTTAGTAGAGGACGCACATTTATTGTTAAAACATATTGGGAATAAGTCCCAACATGGAAGCCAAGAGTTAAGGTAAGCATGCTAATGTGACTGAACGTTTGTGTCCTCCAATTTTATTGTTTTACTTTCAAAGCTTTGTTCATCAAAGGTCAACGTCTTTTGTTTATTCAAGAGCTCCAGACTGAAGTCACATTTGATATCATTACGCTCTGTTCCATTTACAACAGGGATGTCAAACCAGTTCCAGAAAGAGCCAATGTGGTTGCAGGATCAAGCAGGAGATGGTTGGAATAAAATCCTTTGACCCTTTCTGGAACCGGTTTGACATCCCTGATTTACAAGGAGCTCTAAGGAGGAAAGCTGCTTGTCCCACCTTCATCCTTCAGTTTGACCAAGTCTTATTAGTTCTAAAAGGAAAAAAGGTTGCACACTTTCTCTCACAAACACACACACACACACACACACACTGCGCAGACTACTGTTAAGTTTCAGATCTTGGCAGACTTCCAGAGACAGCGACCGTCAGCCTGACAGTAGATGCAGTAAATGTGTTAGTATAAGCACTCGATGGAACGTTTAACAAGAGCAGCGTCCCTTTAGGCCCAGTCAGTTAATGGCAATGGAGAGGGAATGGGGTCAGTAGCAAGAGACACCAAGCTGTTAAGAGCTGAAATAAGACAACTGTAAGAAAAGCCAGAGCTCCAAAAGTTCCAAAGGGAATTACATTGTTTGTTGTTGAACGTTTTGAGGACATATCATGATCAACTGTGTTGTTTTAACCTGCCCCAACACCCAATACTGTCAACAGAAGCTTAAAAATGCATAACTGTGATCTACTTTATTGCCATTGGATGAACAAGATAAAAAAAAACGGGACAAAAGGTACAGTACATAAGGTTAGGATTATGACCTTTAAAGCTAGGGAACTTCACTTTTTTGTTGCATAGACACTACACATTGTTTGTCCGAACAGGAAGTTTTGGAAAAGTGAAAATATGAATGAATAAATCTGACCACAATTTATTAGAAAAACATGTAAACGTTTAAACGTGAGTCACTATTTGATGCTTTGGGCAGAGAGCTGATAGAGTGAGTAAGAAAGGTCATTTCTTTTTCACTTTTTTGACTGAAAAAGCTGATTAAAAGACGTGACATAGACCCAGAAAACATAAATGTGAAAACTAGTGACAGAACCAAGGATCTAGTTATATGTATTTGATTACATGGTTCATTTTTTGTGATTCGAAAGTTAGGTACTCCAGCTTTAAGTGTTGATCTAGAAACACACTGGTTTACATACTGGACTGTGACAAAAAGCTAAAGTCGATTGGTCCCAGGCCAGACTCAACAGCCAGGGTTTTCACTGTTTCTGTACCGTCCATTTCAAACTCAAAGGGAATCCTATGATGACACTTAACCGCAGCACAGTGGGAAGGACAGACACATCTGGATCCCATAATGCCATGTGTGATTTACTTACCTCCACAAAGAAAAGAGTGCGCTTCACCTTTGCCTCAATCCATGTTATACAGTATTTACAGATGGTAGACTGGCACCTACTGGTCACTGGCTGTCACTACAGCCATTTTACAAAAGTGTGACCCAAGTCCTCAGTGGGTGTGTCTCCGTGTGTGTGTGTCCTTGTGTGCCTCCGTGTGTATCACCATACAATGTGTCTCCATGCGTGTCTCTGTACAATTGTGTGTGTGTGTGTGTGTGTGTACCTGGGCTCAGCTCTACTAAATAAGGCAGTTTCTCAGGTGGCAACGATCCATCCTTCCTAAGGCTCTTTTCGTCCCCTTTCCTCCCTTTGCGACCTAGATAATCCGGAGGTCTCTTCTTTAACTGAAATACTAGTGCTCCTAAAAACAACACACATACATTAGACAAACAGAATATTTCATACCACGATCTGGCCTTTTGCATACATTCAAAACTATTTGGAAATGCTGCAATAGCTTTTGCCGCACATTTTTAACCAGTACCTTTAATACATGGTTATTTTAGGTCTGCATATACTTTGCCAATTTGGATGAAAACGTCTCATAATTTTAACAATGTAGCCTTTCTGGGAAAAGGCAACAATTTCACCTTTAACTTCACAAATGCATACACTTATGCATGACACTTAAGAAATGTAATGACTAGGAGTATGCTGTAGGTGGCAGTAAAGACCAAATGAAAATAAAGCACAAACGAGTGTAGAGGAAAGACAAATATTTTGAAAAGAAAAGATTTGAGTGAGATTTGTAGTGGATTACCTCTGTCTGCAGGCCAGTCTCTGAAGATCTGCAGCGGGCATTCGTTGTCATCTAGGATCATTTCTTTACCAGACTTGTCGTCTTGCTGCAAAACAAAGAGACGGATTTAAAACAACTATAATATTACTTTAGAGCCATGGTTACTATAGATCAAGGCAATGAAGAGATAACTGTATGGCAGTCAACAAAAACAAAAATACCGCGATCTTCATTAAAATAAAAGGGACATGCAAATTGTAGTTGTTTAGCAATATGGGAATGCTGGGAGTCATTTACACCATCAATCAAAAATTGTGAATAACTCATTAAGAGGTAAGAGGAAAGCTTTATTCGTACAACAGTGGCGACAGTAGCAAGAACACACACAAAAAATACAATATACACATATAAGTAGCTGTTATGTTTCTTAGCTAGATGTTAATGCTTCAATATCTCCTGTATATCTATAGTTAGATATATATACATCTTATCATGTCATATATGAAATGTATATGATATGTATATTAAAAAATATATATACATTTGTATACATATAAGAGAGGAAAATAAGTAGTGAACAGTGCATATCTGAGCATGGTTTCTCTCAAAAAGGTGCCTGACTGTTCATGCTACTATAATCATAGTCTCATGTCTCATAAATAGTGCAATTTTCTCCATTTCATCTCACAAATGTGCGTAGCTGCTGCTGTCCCTCACCCCAGCTCAGCCTCAGCCTCCCTCCCTTCGGGACAACACCACATGCTACCAGCCACATACCGCTGCCTGTTTCGCTATCCGGCACTAAGCTAATGGACTCTCCCAGCGTCTTGAGCTCATCAACAAACTGCTGATGTGTGTAAGTGAGTGCAGAGTCTCCAGAGGGTCTTTGGCTGCAGTGACGGTGCACGCGGAGGTGATATCGAGTGATTGGCTTACACAGTTAAAAGGGGCACCTATGGGGCAAATTTACTGGGTAATACCTTTTTTTTTTTTTTCTTTAATCAAAGCTCATCATTTGGGGGGATGTTTCTTGATGCATTAAATCAAAGAGGCTGTGTGTAGTTTGGACTCTGTGGTCTAATAATGTTATTACAATTACAATCCAACTTGTGTTGCCAGAATCTTCCTACCTGTGACATTGATTACATTTACCAGCTTTCATTTAAATACAGAATAACGTGAGCTCATGTTTTCCTGTTCAGTTTAATGTGATATTTACCTAGAGTTGTCAATCCGATTTAAGTGTTACTGTACAGTGTGGTTTATAAAATCAAGTGCGGCTTATATGTGGACAAATTGCTTGTACAGATTTAAATACAGATGCTCTAATAGTGCATAAAGTACAGTGTATTTTGTATTGATTGATTGTAGCGCTTTTTATTTGTTTATTTTTTTTATCAATTTATTTAAAATTGATGCTGAATTGAAACTCGCAACGCAAATGAGAGACACATTCTGCGTTCCGATTGGATAATCTTCTTTAAAACTTTAAAAAATATTTATTGTGGATATCATGTACATGTAGACCCATTATCTGTCCATTTAAAAAATATGACATATGTCCATTTAAATAGCACCGGACAGTCACATTTAATTGTTATGTTCTGTAATATAAACATCTCTCAACACAATTTTATCTTAGCATAGCATATATAGCTTTAGCATATATTGATCCGTCCAGACCTACTTTTCCCTATTTGGTGGTAGATCAAACCAAACTCACAATCTCCTCCATCACGTGGTTTATATCCCAAATGAGTGTATTTAATTATTCACAAGCAAAACATTCTTGAGTTATTTACATGTTAAAAAGGCAGTGATTACCCGTGCTATGCAGTACTCTCGGGGGTTCTCCTTCTCGAGGCCGTACTTCTCTAGCGCCTCCACCACAGCGAAGTCTGCTGTGTCCCTGGTGGAGAGAAGGATGGTCTTGTACGGGATGTTGGGCTTTAGGCTGTCGGCGTAGATCCGCAACGTGCCTCCTGTAACAACAGCCACACGTCATACACCAGGGCCACAATTCCAATCACAAGTAACACTTCAGCAGCATATGGTAAGGAACAAGTCCACAATGGGAATTATTGGGCTCAGCGTGTATTTCAACCATTTGTAAATGTATTGCATAAAGAGTTTTTTAGTCAGATACAAGTTATGAAAAAGTTCAATATGTGTATATACATTTTTTTTCCTTTAGTCTTGAATGAGACCGCTCTAGTCAAGGTAACAAATGATATTCGGCTTAACACTGATGCAGGAAAAGTCTCTGTTTTAGTCATGTTAGATCTGAGTGCCGCTTTCGACACCGTTGACCATGAGATTCTCATGCAGAGACTGGAGGACTGGGTTGGTGTTGCTGGTACCGCCCTAAGCTGGTTTAGGTCCTATCTAGAAGAAAGGAAGTACTGTGTGGAGATTGGAAACTATGTCTCAGATAATATGGCCCTGACCTGCGGAGTGCCACAGGGGTCGATTCTGGGACCTCTCCTGTTCAATATTTACATGCTGCCATTAGGTCAGTTAATTCAAAGTATGAAAGTGTCCTACCACAATTACGCTGATGACACTCAGATCTATGTCTCACTGACTGCAGGAGAGCATGGGCCGGTGGACTCACTCCTTCGCTGTATCCAGCGGATCAGTGAGTGGATGCAATGCAATTTTCTCCAGCTAAATGCGGACAAAACCGAAATGATTGTCTTTGGTCCCGAGAAACAAAGAGAGACCGTCATTTGTCACCTTCAGTCTCTCTCCCTAAGGCCCTTAAATAAGGTCAGAAATCTGGGAGTAATAATGGACTCTGACTTAAACTTCAATAGCCACATTGGGATCGGTAACATCAGCAGCTTTTTATCATCTGAAAAATATTGCCAAAATTAAAAATATTGTGTCCAGGGCAGACTTGGAGATTCTTATCCATTCTTTTGTTTCCAGTAGGCTGGATTACTGCAATGGCCTGCTCACAGGTATCTCCAAACATGCAGTAAGACAGTTGCAGTATATTCAAAATGCTGCAGCCCGAGTCCTGACTAGAACCAGGAAGTACGACCACATTAGTCCGGTCCTCAGGTCTCTGCACTGGCTTCCCGTGGCCCAGAGGATAGACTTTAAAGCAGCTCTCCTGGTGTACAAGTCTCTCCATGGCCTTACACCAAAGTACATCCATGATATGCTAGTCCCATATGAACCAGCCCGGACTCTGAGGAGCGCAGGGACGGGACTCCTGTTAGTGCCCAGAGTCAGGACTAGACAGGGGGAGGCTGCTTTTCAGATTTATGCAGCTGGAGTCTGGAACGGTCTTCCTGAGGATGTGAGACTGGCTGCCTCTCTGTCAATGTTCAAATCCATGTTAAAGACTTTTCTTTTTTCCCGTGCATACAACTAGAGAATTTTATCTTTTTAACACACCTTGTTATTTATTGTTGTAACTTTTTGTGTTTTTAACTATTTTATTGTTTTTAATTACTTGTGTGATTTTTATGTTTTTAAATTACTTATGTGATTTTAATGCTTTTTAATTACATATGTGTTTTTAATTGTATTTTAATGGTGATGATTTGTGCATTGTGTGGTGTGGACTGTGAGGCGCTTTGTGTTGCCCTGTGCAGGAAAAGCGCCCTATAAATAAAGATTGATTGATTGATTGATTGAATGAGTGAGGAGCTTGGACGTTGGAAGTTTGATCCAACCTTTGAAATCATGTATGTACAATTTAATTAAATTCAACTTTTTTGTATAGCCTTAAATTTACAACAGCAGTCGTCTTGGGGGATTTAGCAAAGTTTCCTATTAATTCATTTGTCATTTACACTTTAGCCACCAGCCATTTCATTTACATTTTTTTCAAATAATGCATGTGAAACAGACAAACTGTGCAGCCTGGAAACTTCAAGTAACAATTCTGCTAGCAATTTATCCAGAGTAAAACAGCTGACAAGACACATCACCAGAAAATGTGACCACTATGAGAAAGACTGCACAGCAGCAGTCAAAACAGCAGTCACGTATAGAAAAAACTATGGTCATGGTCAACTTGTTGAATCTATCAGAAGACCAAATGAACCTTGGTGGTGAAGGTGAATGAATGGAGGTTATGGAAGGGCACATGTCTGGTTAGGAAAAATATTTTACTTTTTTTATTTGTGTGCCAATACATAAATCTAGTTCAAATCTCACTGGGGGAATAAAAAGGAAAAATGTGGGACCAAATGTGAAATGACATGACTTAAAAATAATATTCTAATAAAATATTTGAAAGGAGAAGATTAAATGAACCTCATTGGACAACAAAGGAAAACACACTGAAAGAAGATGTAAAAACAAGCAGATACTAAAAGCAATAAACTGCAGGAATTCAAATTTAATGGAGATTCAAGGAGATATTGCATGTTGTACAATATTATTAAACACAAATGCTCTGGCAGAGAAAGAAAACTTAAAAACCTTAAAATAGAACAATTAAAAAAGAGCTGAAATACTTGTTATGATTGCATCAGCATCTAATACTGGAACTTGGGGGTGTGTCAAGCGTATAGTGTTGTTTATAGCAGTGCACGTAAATATAAATACTCCACCACATTTCCTTAGAGCGGAAAGTGTATCTGTGAGTCACCCTCAAAATTATCACCCCGAGAAACCCACAAGGCAATCTTCTGCAGCAGTATTTTGCGAGGCATGACACAAAATAAGCTTTTTAAATGGCACTTTCGGTGGAGGAACACGTCACAGTCTCGCCGCGAGTTGTGCTATCCCAGTTTGGGCACGTGGCCTTGAGAGGATAGAGGATGGTGGAGGTGTTTTAAGCTTCTGTGTGTGGCTCTGTCCTTCTGCTCGTCTGGAGGAGTGCGAGTCAAACATTACCTAATCCCCACAACTGTGCATCCCTCATTCACCAATTACAGCAGTGTGTGCGTGTGTGCGGGTGTGTGTGCGTGAGTCTGTGTGTGTGACTAAACAGGCCCAGGCAGGTCTTTCCTAGGCCTCAGGGAAATGTTGAACCAGGACACAATTCTTATGCATGTGATACAGATACATGTTAAGATAAGATGGACTTCATGAGCCAAAAGCCAGCAGAAGGGGCAATAAACGGAGGCAGTGTTTCAGATTTATGCTGCTAAAGTCTTCCTGAATATGTGAGACAGGGTTCTTCTCTGACAGTGTACAAATCCAGGTTGAATCATTCGGTTGCCTGTGGATACAACTGACTGATTTTATCGCTACTCTTTTTGATGCACTGTGGTTATGTATTATTTTAATGGTTTAATATTTTAATTACCTCTGTGATTTTGATTTTTATGTTAGTGTACTTGCCTTGTGTGATTATAATGTTTATTGTTTATGTGATGTATGCCTTTTGTACTTTGTGAAGGACTTTGGGTGCTTCAAACTCTGTAGGAAAAGCGCTCTACAAATAAAAGGTTGATTGATTGAAGTATTCCCTTTCCTCGAACATGTTTTTTCAGATGGTGTCCTCTGCAGCTGTGTTTTACAGTGTGCGCACGAGTTTTAACAGCTGCAGCAGCGCTCAGACCTACAACTAGTCGTGAGATCACATGGTTAGAAAAGTGTGTGTCTTAAAAAACAGGGATGCTACCTCTTGGATTCTTATGGTGGGTTATCTTTAATAACGTAACCTCTGTGATAAAAAAAAGAGACCACTGCATTGGCAAAATTCCATCCATCCATCCATTTTCTTCCCCTTAATCCATTTCTGGGTCGGGGGGGTGGCAGTCAGAGCTGCTCCCAGTCCACAGAGCACCAGCCCCTCACTGATCCTCCAGCAGGTGGTGAGTCAACAGGAGCTGAGATCTTTCAGTGGGAGCTTCAGGCAAAGTGGGGTTAAGTGTCTTGCCCAAGGACATAACGACAGCAGTCATCAGTGGGAGTTTTGAAGTAGGTCTTACAGTGGGATCGAACCCACGACCTTCAGGCTCTAAGGCCAATGCTCTACCAACTGAGCTACTGTCGGCAAATTGAGAAATGGAAATTGCAATCACTTTTTTTCTGCATCCGTGTTTGGTGTTTGTGAGAAAAACAAAAGATGTGACGTATTTAAGGTGGACCTACCAGAGTCAGGTCGCCCGTCGCTGCTCATGAACTCCTGCATGCGTTTCTCCAGTTTCTGCTGCCTCCTCCTCTTCATCACCACCTCTGGGTTGGAGATGGTCCTGGTGAAGCTGGTCTCAGGCATGTCTTTGTACACCTCTGCTGCCAGGCGACTGTTCTCCCTGCAGCACAAAGCACAAAGACACCGGCAATAAATAAAATCGCAAACTTTAACTAGAGAAGGCGGTGGTAATGAATCAGAACGAGACAAATGCAGGAACACCGAGTTGAAAGGCCATCGCCCCTTTCTTTCAGCTTTTCTGGAAGAAGATGTTTTTCTTGGCATTAGAAGTAACACATTCTATATAAAGGAGCAGAGAATGAAGTGTGTGTGTGTGTGTGCGCGTGTGTGCGTGTGTGTGCGTGTGCGTGTGTGTCAGGACAGAGATAAATGTGACGTACCCATCCTCTCGACACAGGCTCTGGTCGTCTCCGTCGGGGATCCGTGAAAGCTCCTTGTCCTTCTTTTTCTTCTCCTTCTTCTCCTTCTTGGATAAAGTCCTCTTGAAGTTTTGAATCACCCCATCCTTCTCTTTGTCCGGTCCGTTACTCAGGTTTTTCTGCAGGTAAATTAGAACATGAATGTATACAGAATGTGTCTATGTTTTATCAAGCATTGGGTCAAATGGGTCTGAATCAGGATTGCAGGATAAATTGTAATTGAATCAAAAATACAATTTTTGTGGTTGCAATTAGAAAAAATGCAAACAAAATAGAGGCTAAAGAAAAGCAAAAGCATCATTGGTTACTTTTTATTCATAAATATTATTTTTAACAATCTAACTTCCCATTGTATTCCACCTCCAACAGTCGCCATACAAACCAGCCCTACTTCCATAGTTCTCCAGTAAAAAAGGAATCAGGCAAAGAAGCATTTCAATATAAAGGCCCAAAGTAATATAATCTCCTTCCTACCCCCAATTGTTGGTTGACCTTCCTCCCACTCACTTGAAAACGCACACTCCCATGTTCTAGTACAGGAGAAGAGTGTTTAACGTTACAACTTTGGAGTGAGTTTGTTCTTGAACATTAAGTGCTACATGTACTGTATGCTGTTCTGTACTGTATTGTTTTTGTGGTAATATTTGTGTATGTACTAGAAGTGGGGAACATTTCCGATTCTTAGATTAATCGCGATTCGGCCGTGGAAGAATCAAGAACGATTCAAAAACATCCAAATTCAGATTATTTAAATAGGCCAAGTAAAGCAGAACTGACAAACAGTACATCCGTGTCAGCTGCATAAAGAAAAAAAAATATATATATATATATATTTGTATATATACATATATATAAAGAACCCTATTGTTTTGGTCGTTAAATGCAAAACGTAGCCTCCCAGACTGCTCGATGACATAATCTATACTATAATTGCTTATCACTTAAAACAAAAGCAGCACAAACAAAGCACTATTGATTGACATTTTGGAGCTTAATGAGGGGCTGATGTCATCGGCCAAACGTTAAATTTCTAATAATTAAAAAACTTTGATAGCACAAACAAAACTTTTAACATCAAAAACCAGCACAAAAAAGCACTATTGATTGAGACCATTTTGACTCATTTTGGAGGTCAATGAGGGGCTGCTTGACCCAAATTTGACCTAAAAAAGAATCATTAATATCTCAAAAACAAAAGTAGCACAAACAAAACGTTTTTCTGTACAAACCAGTTCAAACATGGCACAAACAATTGGTACAGTTTTTGTGCGCATGTGCAATCATCGAGGAGCCAACTTCAGGGAGGCCACGTTACCCACTAAGCTGCTGCGGTGAAAGACACATCTCACACTTGTTCACGTTGACTCTCAATTGATTACAAAGAATGTGATCGATGCTGGAGCTGGTTGGTGCACAGTAGCCGAGTATGAACAGGAAGAGAAACTGAAACTTAACACCGACATAGAGGTAGTCGCTGAAGTTGGGCCCTTTTGACCCTTTAGACCCTTCTGACCGTGCCCTTAGGTTGTGCTTGTGACCGCAATCTCATAGACCAGAGAACAGTCGAGGAGGCTTTGGGGCACACAAAAAAAGGCAAAGGCCAAACAAAATACATTGCGGAATTATTGTTTTGAACTGTTGGTACTTTAGTAGTTAATTTCAGCCTGAGAGCACTTTTGTATTTGTAACTAACATATGAAACACTAAAAGCAGCAAAAAAGAACCTTGAGCGGTACGGTAAGGTTCAAATGTTCATGCATTTCCACTGCAATGAATATTTTCCAGGTAATAAGATAGAATGTAAATGAAGTTAACTCTGGAAATGTGGAAAAAGTGCATCAATATACATCTATCAAAAATGCGTCCATAATCGTTTTATAATTGAAACACAGCCTCTGAATCGTAATCGAATCGTGAGGTGCCCCAAGAGTCACACCCCTAGTATGTACTGTATGTAATGTAATGTTTTTTTTGTAATATTCGTACACTGCTTTTGTGGTTTGTTGAAACAGCTGCTGCCGTATGAATTTTTATTATTTTGAGGACTTCCTCGAAAACAAGATGAAAGCTCTCAATGGGCCATTCCTCGTAATAAAGAAATGTTACACTTGAATTTAGGAAACTGCCACTTGACTCGAGTATAATTTGAAGATGTCGTACTGGAAGAAGCATCTTTCGTCTTGTTGTTGAGCAAAACCATTATTTTCATTCTAAATCAGACACCTCATATTTATCATCAATATACAGAAACAACTCTCTGGGTCTGACTGTAAGATGTGAGAAAAGAAGAAAACTACTTAAAGCATTTATACAATTATATTTTAACATGTTTGTAGATGAGTTCATTACTAGTGGTGGGAATTTGATAGTATTGGGATATTTGGACACCAATTCAATGATATTGCAATTCTAAACACATTACGATACAGAAATTATTGCACAAAAGATGAGGAAAATAAGACTGCTTTACTCAAATGTACATTAACTGAAGTGCAAAAATTGTAATGCACCGATTTCATTGCGAACGAAAAATTAGCAGCATTGACCTGAATAGACTTTCACCACAATTAATCACTTCATATGCATAATTGCATTCAAAACCATGCAGCCTTAATAAGCCTGAATAGGTCACTTTGTAGTAGTAGTGATAAAAACAACACTTATACAGTGCAGGCAGTTGCTGACCTTGGGTAAAATGTCATTTTCATTCTTCAGCACAAAGCGTCCTTCTCGGTCGTCTTTGTTCCAGTTTAATTGAACGACTAAAGGCTTTTCATCGAAGTCCAGCTGCCGCTCTTCTGACAAATACAAAAACTTGATTATAACTCAAATATTCACATTCACGCCACCAGGAAAGCATTTCAAGTGCTTGTCTCCTCACCTCCGCTCACGTGGACCTCGTACAGGGAATATTTGGGTGACGACAGCATCCTCATGTCTGGTCTGAACTTCTCCGCGAGCGTTTCTATTACGTCTTGTGTTGTGGCTGTGCTGGACACTCGAATGCATTTTGTGGCAAAGTTTCCGGCCACTCGGTCCTGGAAATAGAACCGCATCACGCCATGGAACTCCAAATCCTGAAAAACACAAAGATATATATATATTATAGAACTCCCATATGATCTCAGTGTACTGTTTTGTTTTGGCAGGGGTTCAGTACACAATCATTCAATTCAATTCAATGTATTTTTGTATAGACCTAAATGACAACAATAGTTATCTTTGAGAACTTAACAAAACCATTGAATTTGCCAACGCAGATCAGAGAATCAACAGTCCAACACAAGAAATGCAATGACAAATAACACATTGGTCCATAAAGGGCAGAGGAGCAATATCCATAAATGATGATAAATGTCTGTAATTGTTGTCGAATGATTGAGTCTCCTGGATGTCCTTTTAGTTAGACACTCTAAACCGTCTAACAGACCCTCCTGCATCAGCAAGGAAAAACTCTAAAACCATCATCAATGGGAAGAATGAATTACTCTTATAGAGGAGCTTGGAATAACTGGTCATTAGAGGACATATTTTGCCTGCAGCCAGACTTAGACATTTCTGTCACATTTGTGAAATTGCATCATTCAGTCTTGAAGGCACATGACATCATTGTGGGCGCGTGGTGTGAGGAGACTGAGCAGCTTCACTCTTACAGCAGGAGGGAGAGGGCTCTGAGCCAGGGAGCGATGGAGAGAAAATTAGCACATGGTGACGACAGCAAAGGATTTTTCTGTAATTCTCTGCACAAAACCACATACACCCTCAAGACTGCGAGTAGTAATGAACTCGCCGGACCGCAAATCCAATTCAAAGTGAAACTAATAGAAACTAATAGAAACACTAAAATGAAAACATCATGAATTAGCAGTAAACAGTAGCCATTTTTTGGTAGTTCTTTTGTTTTTGTTTTTACACCTGCTTCTCTTGTGCCATGTGTTTTAAGATTAAGAGATCCTTTATTGGTCACACAGTGGGGAAATGTCAGTGTCGCATCACTCATTACAGAACAGTAGGAATGAAGAGCACACGGCACAAGATAAATGAACAATAACTAAACTTGCGATATAAAATGAAGCATACTCCAACAGCATCACTCTGGTCTCTCTCGCTCTGGTCTCTCTCGCTCTGGTTTCCCCATAGCCCTCAGTCCTGCTCCTGCCCTTCAGCGTAGTGTCCTCTGCAGTTGTATTTTACAGTGTCTGCATGACTAATGCTGCTTACATAAAACATATAGCTGCTACTACTTTGTGGATTTTGCTTATTGCGGATTATTTTTGGAACGTAACCCCCGCGATGGGAACGAGGGAACACTGTATTTTACATTACTAAAGTAGAGAATGTTGTCCACGTAGTCGAAGAGTGTAATCTTTGGATGTAATAATGCTTTATATGTGGAGAGATGAAAGCACTGAACTGAAGTGCATACTGGTCCACTAATCCCTTCAACCACTTTATTTTTTTCAAAACAGTTTTTGGGCGCAAGTAAGACATTTTAGCTTTTGAAGTAAACCAAGTCCATTAGAACAAGAAGTTCAAACATGCCCTCTATTTCTACCCCATAGTCAGGAAATAAATAATGTATACATAAGTACATAATGGTCTTCAGAATGGCCTTGCCTACAGTATGAAATGGACAAATCGTGTGGAAATGCATCAAAACTATAAATGCGCTGATATGATTGGTCGGTTTGATTTTAGCCATAAAGCCCATCAAAGTGTGACCCAGAAAGTTAGTTCATCTATTTATTTGTTTGTTTATTTGAATGGGATTCTATAGAGTGCACATTAATCAAAATGTGTCATTGTTTCCATGCCAGGTTCATGTTATTGCCAACACCAAACAGAGAAACAGTTATTAAAAGCCACATAAAGAGATCAAAAGCAGAGTTTAGTAAACATATAAACTTTAAAGCATACTTTTCTGAGTTATGACAGTTACTCAGACAAAGTAGTTCTGTTGATAAACGGCTTGACTGCCACAATTGGACCCATTATGGTTGTGGTGAAAAATACCAATTATTTTCCCTTTGCTGGTATCAGTTCATATCAGGAGTCAGGAGGCAGATAATGAAAGCCAAAGCCTCGGGATGGGTATCAGACTTGAAAAGGCTGGATCTGACAGGCAGGTAAAGCATGCAGCCCTATAAACTTGGCCGTACAAGTTACAAAACTTTACAGTTAAAATATGTCACATTGTTGGGGAATCCAACAGAATCCCATGACTGTAAACATGGCATTTCCAAAAACAACCATCCAGCAAACTTCAGCTTCACTTCCATATATGGCACTAATGTAGCTGATGAGAACGTAAACATTTGTCATCCAGTCATCCTAAGCTCTTTCAACTTAGGCATGCCGTACCTCCTAACGCTCACAATTGTTTTTGTCTTGTCATGTCTTCAGCTCAGTCTTGTAAAATCTGTGTTGTCGGCCCAGGGGATAATTCGGGTGAACTAAAATGGCCGTCTTAATCAGTAGTTTGGACACCACTGCTCTAACTAAGAGGCCGTTTAGGGGCGTGAAAACGCTAGCGTTGAGAAACAGCCTCCAGAGTGGAACAGAACAGACATGCTGTGCGGCGGGGGGCTCTTTCACAGCTGTGTGAAGAAAAAGTGTGAATTATCTGGCTGGAATTACCTCACCACTTCCCCGCACATACATTTGGACATGGGCAGCAGCAGAGAACAAATTCAAACAACAATGGCGGCAGACCAACTAATGCTACCAGTACCTATGCTTCAAGCGTTACACGGAGGGGCAATTTGAACCCTTTGGTCGTTCAAACAAAATAACGCAAAGCTGTAGTTTCAGTTTCCATTATTGCGGCTACTATTAAATGGAGAAATAAGTTGGTGCATTCTTCCCGTCTTTGCTGTGGCCTGAGGAGGATGTTGAGGGAGGAAGTAATTATACTCTTCGAGTAGACGCTGTGCACTTCAAGTACAGAGCCTGGTCATTTTTGCAAATTGCTTTGCAGCGTCTCAAGTCTAAAACACAGTTATGTATTTTTTTGAATGACAGATCTCTTGTTCCCACTACCTGAGCTAACCCATCATGCCAACCTTGAGAGCTGCGTTTACAATTCTCTACTTTCAAAGTGAAGTCCTTCAGTTGTCAGCCCCCACGGCCTCTGTATGTGTGTATGTGTGTGAGAGTGATAACAAAGGCAGTGGAAATAGTGAGTGTAGTTTCGATAGGGTGAAGGGTGGGATCCGTGGAATGTGCATGCATGTTGTGATTTACAGCAGAAATGTGGGTCAGGCTTGTGTAACTACTAGTAACTGTTACTGCGGAGACGTCGGCCCTTGCTCTGCCACAAACTCAAATCACTGCTTTTCAGAGAAAGTTTGAAAAAAACAACGTCATTAAAGCGCTGCCAAACACTATGCGGATCCCCCTCCTACATAGAGAACATGGTTCAGGCTGATACAGGTCATAGTCTGCTCCTACACCTTAAACGTGGCTGAGGTCCATTCTACTTTTGTCTAATCATTATCCCAGTGCAGCTCCTCAATAGTATTTAACACAGACTCTGAGGAAAACAGGGCAGTCCCTGTCTCTTACAGGTTCCCAGAGTCAGGACTAAACATGGAGAGGCAGTGGTTTTATACAGAAAAATCAGACATGCTTCTACTCTGACAATGTTGGTCAGAGTAGTAGGATGAATGTTGGATGAATTGAATTGGTGACATTTAGTACACAATTTGAACTTTTATTTGTTTTTAAAAGTCTACATGCGATGGAGGAGGGTCTAAGGACAGTGGTGATGACCAGGACTATTACCATTTATGGTCATCTGCTCCTTATGGACCAATGGCTCTATGTATTCTTTATCATTACATTTCCCATTTTTGAACTGTTCTCTGAACTTTGTAAAGTTCTCCGAGACAACTACAGTTGTGATTTGGTGCTATACAAAAAATAAATTGAGTTGAAACAAGTGAGTTGTCAATGTTTAAATCCAGGTTAAAAACAGTTAGCTGTGCATACAATTATATCTTCATTTGATGTATTGTGATTATTTATGATTGTTTCTAACTTTGAGTTGCCTTGTGTATGAACTGTGTCTACACAAATAAACTTGCTTGGCTTGAGTAGGCATTATGTGCTGCATGCTGCACATTTGAGGAAGCACTATAGCACAATAGTAATGAATACTACTTATAAAGCGCTTTGCATGACACCCAAAGACGCCTCACGTGGCATCATGCATTCACTCCACACACTTTGTGGGTAAACCACATCTGCCCAGGGGCAAACTGATGGAAGCGAGACGACGAACCTGGAGAAAGTTGAAAGACAAATGTGTAATGTAGTCTGCCTCAACAATCACCATCCGGCTGTTATGTATATTATAAGGTACCTCATTTTAAAAGGTGATTTACTCAGGAAGATTTTACACAAAACACAATCATTAATAATTATTTAAGAATCAGCCTTTCGATCCAAGATTGTATTCAGACAAACCTAGCAAAAATGTATATCCAATCCCAGTAAAATTTTTAGCAGTTAGAATACATCCATAATATAAACAAGTAAATACACATATTGCTACCACATGTCATTACGCAACAACCTAAAAACTAAAAATGTTGTAAGTGCTAACGAACACATTAGCAACTACCCATTGGTTATTTGCCGAATCAAATCCATCTATAGAATACCATTGGGAAACAATTGACAGTCTTTTTTCAATTGGCCACAAAAAAAATATCGGTCAACCTCTGCCATAAACACCTCGCCATGGAGGTAAGAATCAAACCAATAAAATTAAAAGTTGATTTCAAAATATTCATGTATTGTTTACATTCTATAAAACACGGAGCCACATAAAGCTAGTAGTCTGATCCAATGTTTGAAATGTCTGCTCGATGCCCAATGAGTAATAATTACCACCCGTTAGATCTACACCGGGGAGAGACTCTATGGAGAGGGGTTTTGCACCAGGGACGAGGGAGGAGGAGTGATACCTGTAACCACATTGAACTATTTATGGCACATAGGCAAAGTAGGCCAAACAGAAGATACAGGTTCTCACATCATGGAGTTTGTATGGGAGAATCCATAGCTCAGTAAT